TCAACATGAGCTTTGGGGAGACAAACAACCTAACTATAGCAAATGTCTTCTCTAAATTAAGATTCCTTTCCAAAACTCAACTCCTCCATTAATGTATCCTGCTCTACCCCTCTCTCCAATTCTTTCTGCTCAGATTCTAAGTGGTTCTCCATCCAGGCTGTGTATTAAAGACTAGAGAACTGGCTCCCAGCCCAATTAGGTCAGGATTCAGACCCTCTTACTGCACTAGGATTTTCTTAAAAGTTTCAGAAATTATTTTAAACAGCAAGGGGGTTGAGAACCACTGTTCTCTACATATCATTCAGTCTGTGATTATACACTATAGTACTGCCAATTGTTTTATGCCTGCTATCTCCACTCAGCTATCAACAACCTGAGGGCAACTATCTAATAAATCTTTATCTCTCCTGCTTCCTCGGACAAGGCTAAACACTACAGCTGATAGGACAACTGGCATCCCCATGAAATTATACAGGAACAAGATGTCAGGATACTGTTAAAAATCTGTTACAGTGAGTCTAAATACAAGAACCAGAGAACATAGATCAAACAGGCTTTAGAAAATGGAGAGGCCAGAAAAAAGTTAATGCTTCAGAAGAAAAGGATCCTTAAAAGAAAATTTTTAACCAACTGAGAACTTCTTCATTCATTTAATTACTTACTGCACCAGATAGTTTTCATTGTTTGGGATAAAATGGTAACACAAGGCAAATAACATTATTGGGTACTAACCTAATAGAAGTTATATATGTAACTGAACTGGGGAGAAGATTAAACAGATAACTTCCATACAGTGTGAAAAATGCTCCAGTGGAAGACAGACAGCTATGGGCTCATACCAAACAAGCATGTGACCTGATGAGACATCTCATTCTTCCAGACAGGTACAGACCTTTATTAAGGAGCCTGAGTTGGACTGCCACCACTTCTCTTTAAAAAATTCACTACAAGTAATCAATTATTTTTATTTGGTCATTGGTCTTGAGGAAGAGAATATGACTCTACTGCTGACATGAACATTCCATTCTGGGTAGCAGGTATACCTCCCTCCATAATGTAATAAGGTGGCGTGCTGGTACAAATCTGTTGTGTGTTAATCTGGGCACTATGTCTCCTTGATAAGCTACTAATCAAGGTTTATTATTGGCCCTAATTATCCCTCGACAGGCTGGATGGAGGTCTCAGAACTTGAGATGTAAAAGACAAGATTCTAGACTACCATCTATAAGGTTTAACAACCCTAGAGGTTCAGCCCAAACACTGTACCTGTGGCCCACATCCGTCATAGATAAGGCTAGATAACAGCCAATGGGCATGCCCGCTTTCACAGCCTTCAAGAGAGGATGAAACGTGGGTGAGTCTGTCATGTCAGGCACAGTCGTGGAGAAGGGAACAGCTGGACAACTCTGCTGTATTCCATAATCGTTTTTGTGCAGTTTTAACCTCAAGATCAAATTCCAGGCCCACTGGTTAAATGAGGTCTCAGGTGTCTCTCCATATCGAACAATACTGGCCAAATATGAAACCTAAAACAATGATTTATTTTAAGCCACATTAGTCACACACAAATTAAATCAGTAAGCTCATCCACCCCTTTCTTTCTGGGAGTGACAATGCCCTCAGAAGAAAGGAAAATACTACCTACTGGTCTTCAGTGGATGTTTGTTGCGCTGCATTAAAGCAATCTCTCACTCACAGCAACTTGCTAATCACTTTGTTAACCTAATCTCAGTCAACTTAAGTATAAGAAAAATGATATAAAAGCTGATACGCAAAGAAAAATGTGCTAGAAAGTAAGGCTGAGCACAGTAGCTAGCTCACTCTTAGCACTCTGGGAGGCTGAGGTAGGAGGATTCCTTAAGCTCAGAAGTTCAAGAACAGCCTGAGCAAGAACAAGACCACATCGCCACTAAAAACAGAAAAATCAGCCAGGCATTGTGGCCAGCGTGTATATTCCCAGTTACCCAGGAAACTAAGGCAGGAGGATCATGAGTTTGAGGTTGCTATGAGCTAGGCTGATACCATAGCAGCCTAGCCTGGGCAACAGAGTCAGACTCTGTCTCCAAAACAAAACAACTAAGGTGAGGGAGCTCTCTGATAGCATTTGCCAGTTTGGGTGATGTAAAAACTCCCACCACAGCCAATTTCAAGCTACTAACAGTTTAACAACCTAGCTTGCTAAGTTCCTGAAAATTCAACAGTTCTCACCAGCCAGTACAAATGAGCTCTAGCACGCCACTATAACTCCACTCAAATTCTATAATATTAAAATAGTCATATAAAGAGATGGCTCTTAAAGAAAACCTTTATCTAATAATAGAAGTTAATTTTATTATCTTAAATTGCCAGAAATGCTCTTAGGATACCTTATCTGCCCAGGCAATTTATAAATAAAGATTCGTGTTCTCAGTACAGAAGAAAAGGAAATACCTGCTTCATGCTTTCAGAAAGAAGCCCAGCATATGGCTTCTGTGCAAGGTACTTCTGGTAAGCTTCAAGAACCATCAAAGCCACTTCCGCATGGACTCCTTGATCCAGATGCAGGGTACCCTTTTAAAAAGAAAAATAATCACAAACATACCATCTTGGGGTTTTTGTTTTGTTTGGGGTGGTTTTTATTTTTTGTTTTTTTGGTACTTTGGAATCAGAAGATTAGACAGAATAGTGAAAAAGGATCCCCAACACAGAAGCTAAATATTCCAAAATCACATCCCCTAACAGTGAGTGACAATATAAAATGGTGCGAGGAAAAAAACTGGGATCTTTAAAGAGCCATTACATTCCACCTAGATAGGTTTGAACCTGAGTCATCCCTCATGCTGGCCCAAAAGACTATCCTGAAACATAATCATTCAGCTCCCCCTAGAATCTCTACAAAGAGTTTAGGTGAAAAGTCCAGGGCATTGCCACAAACCAGGAAGAGGCTTAATTAGTATTAAACAAGAAGATAGTTAATAAATTAAATCTACAATTTGATCATCATTCAAATAAGACACTTAGCAACATAGGTGATATATTCCTCCTGAATCAGAAGGTGCCTATCAAATTTCCCACCTATCTTCCTTTGCAGCATAAAGAAATAACATTCCTTCACATTCTCAGGAAAATGACTCTCTTAACTCTAACGAGGAAAGAGACTCTCACGCAGCTCTCTGAAAGGGGAGAATAGAGGTTTCATTCACAAATCAGAGAATTTGATGGTGGAGAACAGCTCCCTGTAGTTCTCACCCACCAGCACGTCAGTGAGAGAAGACCCAGAATAACCCATGGGCAGCCCTAAGGGTCAGGGCCACCTTAGGAGAAAGCTCCTTGGATTCAATATCCTCATCTATACACAGGCGTCGTGTTAATGCAAACCACACAAGACAGCTTCAAAGACCAAATGATTTGCTCAGAACAAAAGCTACCAGACAGATGGAGAGGGCTGAGTTCTCCACCAATTTTCCCTTTAAAATATTAGTCTTTTGATCGAGGAGCTAACTAATAAGGCCCATGGTAATGAGGCATAAAAAGTTTTTTTAATGGTCAAAGTCATTTGACATGGCATCCCTGGAGAGATAAGAGACATTAGCAAACCTTTAATTACAAACTATCTGCCGAGAACTGCCCTCAATGTTTTATGTGTCCTAATTTGTTGAATCCTTACAACCACCCTGTGAGGTATGCCTGTTAACATCATATTACAAACGAGCAACTGAGGCTGAGGAGTTTGGGAAACCTACTCAGGGTCACACAGTCAGGAGGTAAAAGAGCTGCAGTCAGAACCCAGGCAGGCTGGCTCAGAGCTCAGTCTCCTAACCAGTGTTTCAGAAGACAGCTCTGGCAAGTCATATCATAGGTGGAAGAGGAACCAGAGGCAGAAGAGGCATTGGGAGGAACTAGAGTAACCAACTAGCCAGAGATACAATAGATATAAGTGGTATAAGAAAAAAAGGAAGCATTTTTAATGTGGAACAATTTATCTTTATCTAGCAGTGGTTTGTGCTACAAAACAGAACTAAAAGGAAGATCCTAAACTTTGATACAGCTAAAAGAATTTGCCAATCCTACAAATGATACTTAGAAATGTTAATGTTTTGAGAAAATGATTCTTTGAAACCAATGCATATAGAACCTCCAGTCTCTAAGGAATGGTTTTAAGACATACCTGCTCAGCAAATCCCCAATTCAGTCCTTCCAGAATAACACAGGCCAGTTTATTCTTCACCTCTGTCAGATTGTAATTCAATAACCAATCCCGAATCACAGCTATCTCAGAGGCAGAAGGTTGCCAAAGATACAAAGGCAGTTCTTTAAACAAGTAGAGGGAAACCTTATTAAAAAGAAAATATTAATCATTAAAGTCAAGAATCAGGGACAATCTTATATTATGATACCAAATTATAGAAGTGCTTGCAAAAATTTTTCTCCAAAGGAAATGGAACATTGTTTGATTTTTAGACAAGTGAAATGGAAATCATGAACAACAAAATCAAATGGTTATTAAAACTGATACAATTATCATAAGCATATTTTACAATCCTTTGTAAAGATCAGTCTTCTTTTTATAGGTAAATCGGTACACTTCAGTTTAGGTAAACTATCATATAAGATACAATTTTAAAGTCATAATAAATTGGGGGACATTCACTTTACAAAAATATTTAGCATTTTAAATAATTATTTCTTCCATGGCATCTAAGAAGCTATTTCTATTGATTCAAAGCAACCTGGGGGATGGGAACAAGACGTGAGGGGTACAGATGAAGCAAGATCAATCAAGAGTTGATAACTGTTGAAACTGGATCACAGGAAAGTAGGAATTCATTATGCCACTCTTGCTCTCTCATACATATTTGAAATATTCCATACTAAAAAGTTTTTTTATATCTTGTTTACAAAAAGTCTGTAGCACCACTTCTTAAATAACATATCTGTGAGTGCAAATTCAAATGAATACAGTGTGCTTTAAGGGAGAAGAGTAAGTCATTTTATAATGTCTAGAACAGTACTATCCAATGGAAATACAAGCCACATAGGCAATTTTAATTTTTCTAACAACCACCTTTTGTGAAAAGTTAAAAGAAACAAGTAAAATTAATTTTAATAATTTCACCTGATGTCTAAAATATTATCTCAACACGTAATTGTTACCAAAAAAAATGTGTTATATTCTTTTGTTCATACAGAGTCTTCAAACTCAGTGTGTATTTTATACTTCAGCACAATCTACATTTCAAGGGGTCTATAGTCACATGTACCTAGTGGCTACCACATGGAACAACAGATCACACAAACTAGCATTCTTCAGGTTCCAGCACTGCTTCAACTTGGAGCCAAAACAAAACTTTTAAAAATTTTAAAGTTTTAAAAAAGATCCTTCCCGGCTAGGTGCCTGTGCCTCAAGTGGCTAAGGCGCTAGCCACATACACCTAAGGTGGCAGGTTCGAATCCAGCCTGAGCCCGCCAAAGAACAATGATGGCTGCAACCAAAAAATAGCCAGGCGTTGAGGTGGGCACCTGTGGTCCTAGCTACTTGGGAGGCTGAGGCAGGAGACTCACTTGAGCCCAGGAGTTGGAGGTTGCTGTGAGCTGTGATGCCATGGCACTCTACCCAGATAGCTTGAGGCCCCCCATCTTAAAAAAAAAAGATCCTTCCCTTCCTTTTTAAAAATTTTTTATTTGTGTGTGTACATTTAAATTTTCATGAGTATTTATTACTAAAAGTCTAGAATCCTCTGAATAAAATGATAATTTAAAAACAGGAAGGTACTACTTTACCCTTAAAGTATCTGACAGAAAGAACAAAGTATTAATGCTAGAACAAACAGAATAGCAATGAGATCTGTTCAGAAAAGCATCTATCCCAGCTACATAAAAGAACAGCATTGACATATATCTTCCAACAAAGAATGAACGTGGGCTGGGTGTGGTGGCTCACACCTATAATCCTAGCATAGGTGGGTGGATTGCTTGAGCTTAGGAGTTCAAGACCAGCCTGAGCCAGTGCAGGACTCTGTCTCTACTAAAAATAGAAAAATTAGCCAGGAGTTGCGGTGGGCACCTATAGTCCCAGCTACTTGGGAGGCTGAGACAAGAGCATCACTTAAGCCCAAGAGTTTGAGGTAGTTTTTTTTGAGACTCTGTCTCAAAATAAATAAATAAATAAATATAAAAAAATAAATAAAAATAGGAAAGTTAAGCAGGCATTGTGGTGGGCACCTGTATGTAGTCCCAACTACTTGGGAGGCTGAGGCAAGAGGATCACTCGGGCCTTAAAGTCTGAGGTTCCTGTGAGCTATGATGACACCATGGCACTTTACCCAGGTTGACAGAGTGAGACTCTGTCTCAAAAAAAAAAAAAAAAAGAATGAAAGTGGGCCATCATGAAAAACCCTGGAGACATTAAAACATATACAAGGGAATAGTACAAACAACTCTGTGCCAGTACTTTCAACTAGTTAGATGAAGTGGGACAATTTCTTTAAAAACATAACTTACCAAAACTGACTAAAGGAAAAAAAAAAAATCTAAATAGTCGGGCAGTGCCTGTGGCTCGCTGGCCGCATATACCAGAGGTGGCGGG